GCCAGGGCGATAATCTGCGGAGAGGAACGCAATGCGCAGCTGCCTCCTGCGAATCGGTCTTTATCTCGTGTTTAACAAACCGTATTTCAGGTTTTTTCCACTCTGTGGGGCATGAACGACTCGCAAAACCAACACGATGCCCACTCGGGTAGCTAAAGGTACCTTTGGCATTTCTCTCTGATGCTGGCCCAATTAAGCTGAGCTGTGAGGGGATACAGCCAGAGTCAGTTGGCTGCTTGCTTGCTTCATGCCATCTGGACCAATTAAAGGGCGAGATCTCCGCTCTCCCCTCCCCCCCGCCCCTCTCCCCCAGTTGTGAGGCGGTGCTTCCATCTAGTATAGATGGAAGACTTGCTTTCCGAAGGCCCTCGATCTTAATCTCGCGAAAAGGTCACTCGTGTCTGGAGGAAAAACGCATCAAGCCATGCCTTTCCAACCAGCTGCATTTAAAAAAAAAAATTTCAAAATAAACTTTATTGCACATTTTATAAATTAATCATACAATGAGTACGCACTCTAACAGACATCAAATCTTTTATCAAAAAGTTCTTAAAAAGGACAATTGCCTCTGCAGTCCATTTACTGTGCAAGAGGTTGCAAGGGGCTGGGTTTGTACAATAAGAGTCACTCCAGGCCCTACTATGTGCTGCAGTCTCTTTTCCCTGTCTTGTGAGCCTCCAGTCCTCTGTAGGAAAAACCTCTTCCTAGGAGCTCCTCCTTTATCCTTGTACAGAGCCCACAGTCCCTTTCAGCGCTCCATCTCCAACTAAGCATGGACGAGCTTTGTAGGCATTGTGGTTTCATGTCGGCCCCTCATGTCCATATCTCTTTCTGGAATTGCCAGGTTTTTATCCACTCAGAGCGCCATTGTCTCACACCTTTGCAGGAGAGGTAGTATCCCAGCATACTCTCTGGTAGGCTCAGTCAGGCTGCCTACTACTACTGTGGGTCATTTCTGCACCATGTTTACATAGCACAATTATAAGAGTTTACAGTTATAATCTAGTTATATGAACTATTTGCACATGCTCACCTGGGGAACTGCACTTCAAGCAGTATAAAGTATTGGGACACAGCAGTCTGACTGTGAATGTTACTGCCACTTTGCCCTGTATTGCCCACTGTTCCCCAGGTTCGAGACCCGGTGCATAAACATTGT